TTCTCTCTCGTGAGGCTTGTCTTCTGGAATAAGATCCCCCTGAGATTCCTGTGGCTCCCACCCAACTGACATTTCACAAAGCCTGAAGATCTCATTGTTATCCCAGGCCTTGGGCTAGGATGGAGCCTCTTGTTGGATGTGAGGTTGTTCGTTTTTTGCTTGTTTGTTTGTTTTTTGGTATTTTGGTACATATTTTTGTATTGAGTGACCAGATCACATCTTGTTTTTGTTTTGTACTATGATGCTATTGTTTATTATATTGTGAACTGTTCAGAGTCCATTTGGAGTTGGGTGGTGCCTAAATTGAATGAATAAACAAACAAATAAATCATAATCTACTCCCTGTGACTTGCAAAAGAGAGGGACAGCTTGGGGGTGCAAAGGAATAAAGAGGCATGGTTAGGACTACTAAGCTAATGGATCCCAAGCTGGGATCAAGCAGACAGGCAGAGCAGAATAAGAAAACTTCTCCCTAGCTCACCTGTTGCCTTAAACATTTTGCAAGAGAGGAGAGATCGTCTGTTTAAATATGTACTGTGCTTTTGAAATGGAGTGCATCTTTAAGGAGGCTGCTTAGTCTCCTGTGAATATGTCTCTGAGAAAGGAACCATTGCTAGTTTGTCAGCAAGCCCTCTCAGCAGGACTTCCGTTGAATTCAAAGTAGTATTGTTTACTGTTTCTCTTACATCTTTGTGGTACTGCTTGTATGTTTATATTCTGTTTCTTAATTATACCAGTAAAGCTGTTCTTGTTCATTCATAACCAGAGACTTATGTATAACCAGGAGGGGGAGAGGGACATTTTCCCTTAAAGCTCCTCATCCCAGGCTTTATTTAAAGTGCATTGCAAAAGAGCTAGAGAGGTCCTGCCTGAGAGATCTTGGGGGATTCAGCTTCTCAAACTCAGGACAATTTTTGTGTTAAAATAGTTGTTATACCATTGTTAGTAATCCACTCAATTTACTTAGGTAGCCATATTCACCAAAGCACTTCCTGGTTAATACAAAAGTCCTCTTCTACTACTGGAGAGGTGTATTGGTATCATGGAAGACTGGCAAGTTGTTAGTGGGGTGGACCTCTTTTTTCCTTTGCACATACAAGAAATACCTGTGCAGAAAGGGGTATTTAGTCAGCTGAGGCAATTTGTGTCTAGCAAATTCCTCCACACATGTGCTTAGAAGAAATTACTCAAGAGCTTGGTAGGTTGTATCCTTGTTATTGTTAATCAGTCTTGCTTGCCCCTTATCTGTATTCTTACTTGTAACTATTAGAATAAGAGGACCACACCACCTCCCTAATCTAACACCTGCCAAGGGAAGGAGGAACAATAAATGCTTAAAAGCATTGTTTTCATTGTTCCCAAGGTATTGACCAAATATGTAAGCAGACCATTTACAGGTTCTGTCTGCTACAGACCCGGTCTTCCCTAAAAATATTCTTGGCAGAGGTTCTACTGTCTAACATTATGAACAAGTTCTTGATAAGACATGCTACCAAACCATCCCCAGGTGTTATTGTTTATGCTCCCTGTCTCTTGAGAAAAGTATAGAAAGGTGGCAATGTCCCTAGGTAGTTGGAACCTCAGCATAGACCAAAAGTCCTGGGAGGGTATTGAACCAACTATTGGCTCCAGAGGGTCCATCTGCTGCCATTCTTAGGATTCCTGACATGCTGAAGAGATGCGGATTGGTATATCTTTCCTTCTGTGTTAACTCTTCATATTTATTCAATAACATCTTTTTGGCATATCACCCTGGTTTGAGGCTATTGCTTTTGAATCCTAAAGAATCTACTGGCTCCTGACTGGCCACCGGGGCACCAACACAACAGGGCTGTGTAAAGCCTTGAAAGGGTGCTTTGCTTCTGCGAAGTTTGAACTGAACAACCCTACAAAGCTGCTTCATGAAGCAACATGGCCCACTTGCTTCTAACAGCAAAACAATGTGACCGTGTCATTTCACTGCTCTCTGTTTCAGGGTCCTTCTTAGTCTACCCTTGCAGAGCCCTAGCTGTGTTCACCAGAGGACTTCCAGTTGAGTGGCTCGAGCACATGCTGTGGGGAATGTGTGCATTGGAAGAAACCAGCACCAGGAGAATAGCTCACACAGGGCTTATGAAAGATGGGTCACCTTTCTGAATAGCAGGAGCTCCACTTGTAGATATCCTTCTTTTCTCTCAGCAAACCCAGTATTCTGTTAACACATACAAACCTCTGGCAATCAACTCTGTTGTCTTTTCTGGCTTCTGTGTTCTTTATAAAAACAAGCACACCTACACAGTGAATTCCTTTTATAGATGAAATGGTTATCACATTCCACCAGGACCATCTTGTAATAATGCCTATTGCTTATTACACCAAAGATGAAAGCTGTAAAAATGTTTTCAGCTTCCTTTCTCATCACATGTATGTTAGCCCTTTGAGGTAGTCCAGACAAGAAGCATAACCATGAGTACTAACTCTACCTTTATTGTAAGGTTACATTAACAGAATCTTGCAAAACTGAAAGTATTTCCCCCCTCCTTCCCTTTTACTGTCCAGAAAACTAGAGAGGGTCCCTTCTGAAATACTTCCCAAGCCCCCTCTCCTTCTGTGGGCTGAGAAATATTTTACATGCCAGTTGTCCAGTGTACGGCTCTTCCTCTTGTCTCCTAGGGTCATTCCCACATACCATTACAGTGTAGGAGAAAACTGACTTGCACTCCCTCTTCCTCCTTGAGGAAGACAAACTTCCTCCTCCTCTGCTAAAGGTTGGAAGCAAAAGGTTTCTGTCACTGAAAAACAAATTACAGTCCCACCATGGAGGCAGTACCAATTCCACACAGGCAGATGGGCAAAATGCATTTGTTTTTGCTGGGCAGATTGGCCCAG